AAAAATAAATTTCGATCATCCATCGATCTGTAAGTTCAAACTAACAATGAACAATTGTAACAGGAAGATGAATAACATCGAAAAATCCAATAAAACGCCAATGGTTACTGAATACCTGAGAAATAAAATACAAGGGAGTCTGGGAATCCTCAAAATTACCAGAGAGATCATCCTAAGTATATACACTGCACGTTCCGATTGCTGCAGTAACAAACAGCCCAGCACGGAATAATTGAAAAGCAATGAGAAGGAGAAGGTGGGGGGGGGGGAAACGAAACCGCCGTGGGATTTCGATTAGTATGTTCCTCGTTGGAACAGAGGACAGAGAGAGAAAGAGAGGTGGAGGGGTGGCAAAGTAACCGCGAGGGTTCATGGATAAAGCACTCCACCGGCAAGCCCTTCCTCCTTTGCTCTCCCAGTGGACCAATTTACGGCACCCCGAGGACTCAGGGTATTACGCTTCACGCTCGGGGGTTCGTTTCTGGCCATTGTTGCGCCAGTCAGGGGATTATTTCGGCCGGGGGATAGAAGGAGGCGTTCGAGGGATCGGATTATACATTCCCCCTTCTTCAATCCGAGCACCTGCAGCCTAAACTGTGTGTCCCGGGTCTTTTTTCGAAAGTGAGAAAGTAGAAGGTGAAAGAAGGGGTGGCAGTGTCCCTCGAGCGATCTCCTCCGATTAATTCGCGTCGATGTCTGCGACGGGGAGGAAAACCATTTAACGTAATAAGCCGCCACCGGAGAAGCTCCGACCTCTGTATACCCCCGGCTTTTGTCGATCGAATATCGGGGACCGATTAGGAACTCTTACAAATGGCAATTATAAACGGGGGGAAGCCACTGATAAAGACCGTCCCGTCGATTTAATTATCTCTGCTCGATCGGGGTAGGTGGGAGGAAAACCAAGCGAGCGTGCGAGAGTAAATCGACCATCTTATCGGTATCCATTTCGAAGTCCTCAACTAAGGGGCGGGGGGGATACAACCCTGGACAGGGAAAATCGTCTTTTTATGCGCTTCCACTCAAAGTTCTTATCGGAACTTCAAACCTCCCACCCCTTTTGTGGGTCCACGATACTTTTCCTCTTCCCCCTTTATCGATAGATTTTTACGGTTGTACGTTCAGTGTACAATAATACCGGCAGAGAGGCGTAAGTGAATCTCGAGGGCGCCGGCCTGAAAGAGTAATGAAGGAGACAATATGTTGCATCCGCTGCTGGGCGCAGCGGTGCGCGCGCCCCAGGTGCCGAATAAACGTATCAGATCGAATTGAACCCTATTTTGTTGAGCACGGATAGACATTACGTTGTTCGCACAATAGGCAACACGAAATCATTTCTAACATCACTGGGATCTTTTTTATGTTGCATTAAGGTTTCTTTGTACCATGGAAGAATAGGAGTTTACATATAGAAGAAATCCGTGTAAATACACACGACTATACCCAAGTGAACTGACAAAGTACTCGTAGACACTCATGGACTGCGAACATTTATCCGTTCGGTGCAATGGACAAAAAGCGATGTTTTTGTTCGTAGACATGGAGGATACAAAATGCACGAAGCATCGTCGTCGCGAACGAACTTACAAGTCTATTAGAATTTAAAACTTAGAAATTATGAACTTCACATCCAATTTCGTACGTGATTCCATCCGGTTAGAAGCTTAAAAACGATACCGCTCGGCTCACTCTCGGTTCTGAAATGCTCCGTAAGACTTAACATGGTCTTTTGCATGTATAAATAATTGCAGGGATGGTATAAATGCAAAACTGAAACACAAGGGAAAGGGGAATCGCCGGAATTAAAACAATTCCACCCTCTCTCTTTTCTCTTTCTCCCTGGTGAACGAGAAGCAGCAGCGTGTAATTACTGCGAGCGGGGAGCACGAGATCGCGATTCCACTCGGCCAGGAAACGTATAATGGGAGTATAATGCGTGAAATTTACCGGGCGCATCAGCATAATGGACGACGTGACGCTCAAGATATCACTATGATTCCGTATTTCCGTGCCGACAGCGCGACTCGATTTCGCCTCCCTCCCCCTCGTCTCGCCGCGTGCCACCAGTTCACATGCTTCAACGATGCATTACCCTGTGCTCGGTGCCAGACAGCTTCAAAGCTTAAAATCGACCGATTATCGTTTCTGTTCCGTGGAAACGTTCCCCACCCGCCTGCCGTGTACTCTCGAATACGGTTCACGGAATTCGAGCGAACCGTTCAGGTATACGGATGGTCACAAAAGTATCCACCCCAGCTTAGCGATTCAGTGAAACGCGCAGAACATCAAGTAAGCACAAAAACTAAATATCACGTCAAAATAGATTTTTCTTTTTTAAATCAAGTAGAATATTTCCACCATAGCACAAAGATTAAGAATAAATATTTACACTATGAAATACACATCGTCCGTCGACGATACTATGTACCTGAATATACGTTTTAAATCATATTTAATCATTCTAACGAGAATTTTGCGTCGAACATAAGACTGAAACATTCTTTCGAAGTATCGTACGCGGTTCAAAGCTAGAATTGACTTTACATATTCATTCGATTGTAAAGAAAGGGTGAAGATACTTCAGCGACCAGCTGTACCGGCCGTAGGAACCATTGAAAAAGAAAACGGAAAGACGTTAGGTTCGGGGAGCGGGTTTGCGTTTAGATCCGCGATTTCGAAAGTTTTTACAGCTGCGCACATGCGAAACTGTACAGTTAAACATACAAAACGTCGGTATAAACGAGCCGATTAAACGTTTCAATATTTGCCGAATCGGAGCACGATGCGAACACACCACGGTTCACAGAATAATAATGTTTGCGTAATACAATGGCAGCGCGTAGCAATACAGGATGTTCGAGATTTCGTCCGAATATTAAATAACAATTAAAAAACAAAGTATAATTATGTCCGTCCGCGATATTTTTGTTTCGTTAATTAATCGTTCAATTCGAATCCTCGCTTGATTTTTTCCTATGACCAACATAGAAACTTCTTTGTCTATTATTCGTTCCTCAAAATCTTTTATTCTAGATAAAAGTTACGACCATCTGTGTGTACACGTGTTTCGTTACCAGCGATTTCCTGCGAGCGAGCGAGGCGGACGACTCCACCGGAACAACATTCCGTCCTTGTCTGTTCGTCTCTCCTCGGTACTTCATGGCACTCGACAGAGTCACCCCTTTTGCACACAACATTGTCACCGCCTTTCGATAGGGTGGGGGGGACACAGAACCTCGACTCTTTCGCTAAGCGCGTTTTTTTTTCTCTCGAATGATATACCTCTCTCCCGTTCTGCTCGCCGTGTCCCCTCGCTCTCTTTTCCATCGCTGCTCACCACGTGCTACAATATCGCCCGGTCCGCATCCGGTGTAACGCCTGTTATTAGGGATGGGCCAGATGAAGCTTTCATTATTCTATCCGAGAGTCCCTTTCGTCCCGACAACACACCGTTATAACAGAGAGTAATGGGTCATTTTTCTTTCTTCTTTTTTTTTTTTTTGCTTTCGTCTATAATTACTATGATTATCGGGGCCGAGGTGGATATAATGGCAAACGGGAATAATGTAATTCTTCCCATGAACGTTGCGTTTACGTTTCAACAAACGGGTCGAACGTGAAAACAGTGCGCGGCACTGCATTAATACACATTCTCTCCTATTAAGGTGGATTTATGTTCCGGAGCGGTACCGGAACCGATACCGTTAAAACAAATGTTCTCATTAGCAAATGTTTCTACAGTTTTCGTCAAATTAATGGACACAACCCCCAAGTTAACTTTTCACGTAAAACCCTTTCAGAAATTTTCTTTCGTCTACAAACATGCATATCTGTACGACTACGCGTGTAATAAAGTCGTATTGTTGTTATTAAAGCAGATAAACGTACGTTTGCTCGTTTTATGGCTGACCGATCGTTTACGGCACCCTGTTCATCGCGGCCAGCACGATTCCAGAGATTCGAGAAACATGGCGTGAAACTATGCTTCGGCGTACATACATACACACCGACAGTCAATTACGAATACCGTTGTGGTCACAACGAACGAGACGGTTTAATCGCAACGGCTATTAAAAACCAGACACGAAAACCGTAGACCGTGGTGGGGGGGCAGGCAAAAAAAAAAAATAGAAGAAACATGGACTCGTATAGCCGGATCGTCTTCGATTCACGGATCAATAGGTTCCGCGGGACCGAGACGAAACGCCTTTTACACGGTCCCAAGATACGGTATATAAGCTCGAAATCGTGACACGGGACCGCGACGCGTCGCTTCGACGCGGCGGCGCGGCACGGCTCGATATCTCGAAATCTCGAAACGAGTCGAGAAGGCGCAAGTATGCGCAGAGTGCCAGGAGGCACGTGTATCCGACACGTATACAACAGCGGCCCCGTGCATGTAACCTACGCGCGGCTCGGGGAACCATGATAAATGTGTGTACCGCGACGCACGTGACCGCATTAAACAGCAAACCGAGCGAGCGGGGGCATCAAGAAACCGGCGCGGTGTTCGGTATTATTATCGCGTTCGGTAACCGCGGTGTATATACCCGACGCGAGTTTCTATTTTGATCGAATGTTTTGACGCGCTCAACTCCGTAACGGCAAGGGTGAAATACACGCGCGATCCCGTTTCAACGAGCGTCGGTCTCGCGCGTTCGAGAAATTCGACGGCGAGTAATCCGATAGATGATCGAAAACGGTGCAACACTGGTTTCTACGCCACTGAACGTGATCGGAATCGCGAGCAATACGGGCCCGCGAGTCCTTACACGTTGAAACTCGAGCCAAGTCTAGCCCACGGCCGAGATCGCCTTACGAGGTACAAATCGTTCAAACCGCGTATTAAAGACGCGTAGTTTTTTTCGTGAATCGACCGTGAGTAAAGGAAACGGTTAATAGAGAAATTGTCATGAGCGTTGAATTGGTGTTCTTTGAAGAAAAAATGTCACGGTAATAGGTTTAGATACACTAAAATTGTGATGAGAAATTTTACTCACCGGATGCCTAGCAGCTGCGGCAGCCACAGCAGCGGCATTGATTCCGGCACTGGGATACATGATTCCTATCTGGTGGTGAACTAATAGAAAATAGAAACACTATCGTACGTGTTCTTAAATCACACGAACGGAACACTTCATGTCACGCGACACACCAACCGACGGTAACAAATAACAACAACAAACGACGAACAAAAAAAAAACCACCGATTCAAATCGCCCGCGTGGGCTACGAGAACGACCGACCCTTCCGACGGCTCTGTCCGCGGTTCTGTCGACGCGATTCGATCGAGAAGGTCCCCGCCTCGGATGCACGACGATGATCCATCGGTGTATCTACGAACTCGTCACTACCGCATTCTCGCCGGGAATAATAAGCACCGTCTCGATCGAGGACTTTCGGTATCACCACTGATTTCGTACGCCGGCTACGTTCATTGAGGTTATACACATATATATGACACCAACGCCAGCCACGAAGTATCCCGTTGGGCACCGAGAGCGTGGCGTGCCCTTTTTACGGTCGGTAAAACAGAGCGATAACCACCGCGTTCAAGAAATCCCGTACAAGGCTCGTTTTTCTTGGCATTAAACGGAAAAAGAGAAACTCTCCGTCTCTCCTTTCACGGTTTCACTTCCTCGACGTGGATACACCATTAACACAGAGACACTGCACTTAGTTGTTTACGATCAAAACGATGGTGGCTCGCCGCCACTTTGAGGTTAAGTTTACCAACACTAACACCGCACACGTCCTTTCCGTTGGTACGCGAGAATTCTTCCAGTACCGAAAAACGCGGTCACGGGAATCGAAGCGCCGAGCACCGATCCAAAGAAAACCGGCTAAACGTAACGCAAAATCGAGCACAAACGTTAAATAGCACAGACGAACAGCAAGAACAAACCTCTCTTTACAACGGCCTCGGAGCGACTGATGGACGAGTAAGTAGTGGGGATGGTATCCCCTCCAAAGGAATCTTTCTATACCCCCACCCTGGCAGGCCGTTACTCCACAGTTAAACCCGCCAAGCACCCCCTCGAATGTCTCTCCTCGTTCTCGACGCTCGTATTAACCGGCGCGATAGCTCCTTCACAATTAAGTCGCGTTACGTAAGGGTCTCGAAAAGGCGAGCACGAAAATCACGGCTCGTTAAAACATCGGTACCCGTCCTTCCTCTTTCTCCCTCCATCTTATTTCTCGCTTCTTGCGTTCTGGCACTCTCTATTTCATAGCACCTGTCCTCCCTATCGTATACTTGATCTGCTTTATCGACTAGCGACGAAGCTGGAATACGTTCATCGTGATTTCAGCGCCGATGTTGATACGACGAGTGACCAGAGCATGCCTTCAGGGCCGTTTTAGTTGACCGTAATTAATCGGGTTTGAAACGAACGGTTATATTCGCGTTAAGCATGGCGCAATCAAACGAAACATCGATTCTATTATACGCGGGACCAGCACCCCGGTATGTTTACCATTCCCCTCTTCGCACCCTACCGACAGAGTTTCTTTCTATACTTACGTTATTTTAGTAGCGGTCTTTTTTTTTTTTGCTTACTCGCCTTATGTTAACGTTGCAAAATTTCGCGGTGAACACTATTTATGTATTAATAGGAGATGACTCAACACACTCATTTATCAACGTTGATTGCGTTCGTTTTTTTCCATTCCTCCGAAGCTATTATCGCTGATACCGCGGTTAACGAGTGTGTGCAAATAGTGTTTGTTGACTACATTCAACTACCTTTGAAATGTAGACGATACGAAGTATCAATCTCGAGGAACAACCAGTGACTCAGGGAATGGTTCTCGGAATACTTTTTTCGTGATGCCCCCATTATCTCTTCGCCGGTATGTGTATGTACTTCGCTCAAACGGATACGACTGAGAGAGAAAGAGAGATACATCGTTACCCCCGGGGTGATATCGTAACGCGAATCGTGTATTCCACGAGTGTATACGTCCGGCGATTTTTGCAAGTTGAAGCACGAAGACTCCAAGCCCCGAAAGTTTTCGGTCCCGTAGATACGGTCGAATAAACGAGAGGACAACACGGCGTGCCATGCATACGCGTAGGTATTAGTTGCTTCTCTCCGCTCGTTCAACGTGTGCAAACAAATCGAAAGTTTTTCGCAAAATGGCCGTCACCAGGCTGACACGGATGTCCGCATAACTCTCTTTCTCTTTCTCATCAGTCCCTCTCTCCCTTTCCGTCTCTCTTTCTCTCCTCTTTTCCCGTCACTCCCGACCATTCGCCGACTAGCTGCCTCTCTCGCCACTCGTGATTTCCCTCACTTCCCATACCACCACAAATATGGCGCCTCCACCCGTTTTCCCAACCCCTACAACGTGCCTCTATAAAGTGAGAGCGAGCGAGAACGCGAGAGTTCTGTGTGGATGGAAATACGTACACACACACACGCGCATCGAATGCGATTGTGTCCGAGTATCCGTGTGTAGCGAGTACGATCCTATGCGTGTGGCAAGGGGGGCCCCTATGTGAATATCGCACAGCACACAGTCCCAAGCAGTTTCCTACTTGATTGCCGCTATCGTCCGCTCACTTCGTAAAGGAACTGCTCCACGCGGACTGTTGTTGCCGCCTCCACCAACCGGCGCGCGTCTATCCCCGACTTCGCCAATCACCGAGCGCTCATCCCCACCGACCAGCCCGTCCGACGCAAAGAGTCGAATGAAAACGTGACCTCGACCAATGGAAACGGCACTTTTTGAGCTGACGCTGGTACGTTAGATCCGTGCGGAGCGTCGCTCGAGCCCCACGGATGTTCCTATACGGAATGAAGGTGCTACGCGAAGCCGCAGCGAAACATGAAAAATAGGGGGCTACATGAGGAAAAACACGGACTGGGTAGGAAGGAGGAGGGCCCTGCGGGATGGATCCTACGAACCGAGACACCAAAGACTCTGGCGCAGGCCGTGGTTGTGTGGGGCAGCAAAGAGGGAGGGACGGCGAGGATAGAGGCCGAGGATGAGAATGGAAAAGTAACATAACGAAACGTCGATCCCATTACCTGAAGCTCTCTCGCCCTGCCGCCACCGTGCACCGAGCCCTGCTTTCGACCCTTAATCCAAAGGAGGATTAGAAAACCCCATTGTCATGCTTCGCGGAACGCGGGATGGGATATATACATACATACGTATGTACAGAAAAGCAGTCCGTATAATTTCTCCCCTTCCTTCTATGCCTCGGTTGCTTTCGCTTCGCACAACGAAGGCGCCGGTGCAGGGACCCTTCTAATGAAATAAATACGTGACGCGTCCTAGTGACGATGCGATGGTAGTTCTGTTTATCGCCAACCGATGGACTTTTTGTACTCCTTGCACAGAGAGACGCGCTTTCTCCCCCAACCCTCTCTCTTTGGTTCCTACCCTGTTCACCGCTATCGTTCCACCGTTTTCCTTCTACCCTCCAACCCCTCTCAAACCCTTTTCTTCGTCTCGCTCTAACTCATACCGTCTGGTTTGCCGGCTCTTTATCTTGTTCCACGGGGCGAAGAAGGAATATAAGGCAGTGCCGTGGAGTGTTGGCGAAGCTGTCGGTCGCGCTTGGTCGGCTGCGGTTTATGCGGAGCCGTCTTGCCTGCCGCCTGCCGCAGCCGGTTTGCGTGTTCGCCCGTGTTCGCTCGGTAGATACGTGTCCTCGGTGCGGCTCGGTGCTCACCGAACGACCATGGACGCTGAGCTACGGAGAGTAAAGAGGAGAGATCGAGGGAGAAAGGGCAAAGTAGGACAAAGATAAACGTACGAAGGGAAGAAAGAGAGACGAACGTACGCCACGAAATCCGAGGGTGAGGGAGATGCTCGCAGGCGGCAGAACCAGTCGCTGCGGTCGTCGTGGCTAACCGCACCGGTGCTCTCAACCCACGGCGACCTCGGTAACCGCACGAAGAATACAGAGGACCTCCTCTGCGTCGTTGTTGCAAACTTCTCTCGCCAATTCTAGAGATGCTTGCTTATTTCTTTAATTCGTGTTTCGCTTGCGAAATTTTTCGTACATCTTCGTGAAATAAAAATCAGCTGTTCCATTAAAATTACGTGTATATACTATGTTATATAAGTAAGAGTTGCGGATTTTGTATCTTCCATCGTGTACTTCTAAAATTGACTTTGTAATGTGTTCCGAAGATTATGTTGTTCGGTGGAAAAAAAGATAACTTGTACGGATGGAAGCAGATGTACTAAATCACATGTTCGTTCTCGAGGTTTATAACAGTCATCATTGTATGCCCGAGAAGAAGTCATTGGCGGCAATGTAAATATTACATCGACTGCTATTGCAATAACGGAGTCTCTTCTATTTGTAGCCATTGTACGCGAGAATTTCCTGGTTGGAAAATCGTCGGGAAGGGGGAAGGGGGGGGGCGTTGAGGAGCTGGTTTAATTAATTATAATTGGCTGAGTGCATTGGGCAACCGCCTCTTTGGAACCAACGTCCACTTCATCTGCCCGCACGAGCGGGGAGAGAAAGATCTAAGAGCTTGACTTCGGCTTGAATGAGAGAGTACGTACGTCTGGTCGGTTCGAAAAGGATTCGCGAGGATGATCGAGCGCCGCGGGCCAGGCCATTAATACAATTTGAAAGAACGGCGTCCGTGGCGAATCTTCGAAATCACCGAGCGGCGGTTCATTGATAATAAACGTACAATTTGTATGTACATATATCGAGCAAACATCCGTCGAACCAGACGAGAAAGAAAAAAATTATTAATCAAACGCATTAATCGAAATCGTAGAGCAAAACTGTATTCGGATTTTCATACCCCCTCACCCACACCCCCAGATCCGTCAGTTTCGTGCACGTTATTTCAATCGGAGCAAATCGAAATCGACGAACGGGGGGATTATATTTAAGAAATTATTAACAACAACACGATGTTGTACATAGCGTTTCGTAAGCTTTCAGCCATCAAGTTCGAAGAATCCATCCTTTCCTCTCTCTCTCTCCCACGCATTGCTCGGATCGGGTATAATGTTCACGGATCGAATTTCTAAGGGAACCACCAAGGTTTGGCCCAAAACCTCGTTCTAGCCCGAAGATCGTATCGGTGGGGAGAAATAACAGATGGCTAATATTTGGTCACGACGGAAAAACGGCCGTTCCGGAACGAACGATCGACTCGGACGATTTGCCAAGCGATCACGAGCGCCACGATTTCACCGGACCGTTTCCTATACAATTAGCAACTGCATTTAAAAGGTATAGAATAATCGGAGTTAGGCAACGCGGGAA